AGCGCCCCCACCATCCGCCTGCTCCCACTCGCCGAGTCCTGCGCGACGATTTTGCGCGCACACGATTTTGGGCAACTTGCAGTATTTCTAAATATGCTTGGCCAGAATTTCCGATTTCTAAGTGTTAATATCTTACTTTATTGATTTAATTAGTTATTCTAATGTTCCAATCATCTAATTTATAGTATTAATATTTCAATTTGAACGTAATTTTTTTTCAATCTTTACCTACTCAGTATATTCTGCGAGATTTTAATTTAACCTTAATTTTATATTTTGAATAAGTTTTGAAAGTAAATCAATATCCAAAAATATTTCATATTATTTATAAAGCTTTATTGAATTTTTCGAATTTTCGCTAATTTTGAATTTGAAACCAAGCATCAGAAAATAAGTAATAAAATATTATTCAATGTTTATAATACTGTAATTTGTAGTAGGGTTTTAATTTGATTACTCACTTCATTATAAACTACTGTAATACAAATAATTAGTAATGTTTCCTTTTATTAACCATTTAAAGTTCATTATATTATTACTTTCAACTATTTTACTTCAAAGTGTCAACTATTCGCAATAAAACGATGATAACCATATGATAACTCTTCAGGTAAGCATAAAATACCTCTGCCCGCCAAACTATCCGTGCGTGATCACGTTCAACTCGGTTACGAATGGATATGCGTTATCGACGATGATCACAAAATTCTATTTCCCAACTTGCCATTGCGATTTAGCGCCATGTTTTTGGTATCGCCTAAGACCGTAGCGTTGTGCATCTTCCTACTCATCTCTGTTGAAATAGTAATTGCAGAATGCATTGACGCAGTGTCATACAAATGAAACCACGTAAGGAGATAACGTAGTTTTGTTTAATTATTTACTGACGATCGGTAAATAAAACAGCTTGAATATTGGCAGAGTTTGGCTACTAACTGATTTATCGACCTTCTTGCTTTCCCGCAAAGCTAGACTCTCGTTCGTTGCAATAATGTACAATGGTGTCTGAAATCACAGCAAACGGGAAATGATGTGAAAGAAGTAGAAGTAAAGAATATTATTGCACGATTCGTGTGTTTCTTTCGCGGAAAGAGTATCAAGTTATTTAATACTTCAACGTTCACGTGTAAATAACGTGTGAATCTTGTAATAAGAAAGGAGGTGTGGATGATGGCGAGGGCGTCAAGAATTTTGTGAGGCTATTAAAACCTCAGAAAAACAACCTCTCTACTGAAAAGTTTTAAATCTGCTGGAACTGCTTTATGCGTAAGATAGTTCTCTAGACTTAGACTTTGTCCTGTATTCATTCATCAGCATCGTGTATCGCATCGCTTGGTTTATACTTTAATATGCAAAGCGTGCATATACATTAAATTTCTATAATGACTGACGATAAGAAGGTAGGTGAAACTTCCAGTGGAGAGGTTGTTAATGGGTTTCGGAGCTGTAGGGATCTAAGCGATGCCGTACCGCTTTATCCACCGCGTGGGCTATATTTAAAACCTATTGCAAAAATTAACGTGTCTGTTAATCTGCCCCAACTGACTACACCAGGTAAAATATCTTGGAACTTTGAACACTGTGTATTTGTTATTGCGATCCAACGTTTGATATTATTTTTGTGCAGAATATGTCAAGTGATCTACCTGAATTTATATAATAAAATAATACTCAACTCAATATTTCATAGAGATTCGCTTACTCCAATAAAAACTCTTATTATTATGAATGTTCAGTGTATGGAGTCGTATTGCTTCCTTCTCTTATAGTTATATTTTGATTGAGAAGTGTACAAAGTTTGGGTATAAGGTACACAAATAATTGAACACTACAAGCAATGGATTTGTATAGTCAGATACGGTTGTAAATGCACAAGAGTACAATAGTCACTATAATCTTCATCGTTCAGTATTCGTAAAGAATGACCCAATGTATCTGGAAAAGAATGAAACAACCCCTATTTTATACAGACGTTTTTTATTAATAATTAGCGGAAAACCGATCATTTCACAAGTATCAGCAGGTTTTACAGCGCATTGCTACGATATAAACAGGAAAGACAATATCGACATGGGAGGTAATGGAGAAGATACGTACCTTGATAAAGCCGGACGAGTTCGCATCCCTGAAGGTTGCCAAAAGTACTTTAGAATTTATCAGACTGGAAGGAGACCTACGGGACCGATGTCGCTTGCAACGAGTACTGATGCGCCTAGATTCCCAACGTTTGAATTTGGCTGGCTTCTCAAATGTTCTGAAAGTTCGTGCCATCGAGGCCAAGGATGAGTTTCCAAATAGGCATGCCTGGGATTCTTACTTTAGGGATGCCAAACACATGAATGAGTTGAAAGCAGGCGAAAGGCCAGACACGATACACGTCACGGGACTTCCTGTCAAGTGGTTTACGGAGGATGGCAGGTCCACACCTAGTGAATCTCTTATCACCAAGGTGTTCAAAAAATGGGGTAATCCAAAGCGGATTGATGTACCAGCAGCTGATCCATACAGATCCAGGATGAGACTTGGTACTAATATTCAGAAATTCAGCTACGGTGATGGAATTTTCTTTGATGCTTACATACAGTATGTCGAATACATGGACTTTGTCAGAGCTATGGATGCACTGCGGGGCATGAAACTACTCAAGAAGGAACCACAGAACTACCTTACTGCTAATATAAAGGTGAATTTTCGGTGAAAATAATTTAAGAAAATTTTGTCTCTATGATGTCGATGATACTGTGATGCTGAGTCAAGGATGATTTCTTTAGGTTGACTTTGACAAAACAAAACACATGAGTGACAGTTCCGTGGCGCATAGGGAATTCGAAAGGAAGCGACTGATAGCTCAAGATAGTTTGGCAGCTGAGAAGTTGCGAAGGAAGGAGGAAGCTGAAGTTCAGCGACGAGAAGAATTAAAGTTCGTGTCAAATAGTTGCATTGATTTATTCATTTTATGTATATTTTTTTCTGATCGGTTATTAGTTTCCCGCTTAACCTTGCAGAAAGAAAGAAGAAGCTGAATTGACAGCCAAAGAGGCTCGACGCCGTAGACGAGAAGAAAAACGGAAGAGGAAAGCTTTGACTGTATTCCGAAAGCAGGAAGAGGATAAAGTGTCAATGAAAATTGCCAGGGAGGAACAGAAGTTGATAAAAGCACAAAGACAATTGGAAAGCATACGCTTATTGGATGAATTGTTTGACAGAATTAAAGTTTGTTCAAATTTTGTTTCCCAAACATAATCCTCATTCATTATTAAAACAATAATTAATTATTCACTTATATTTGTAGATTAAACTGGAGAAAAAGGTAATTGATATTGACAAAAAGAAGGAAACGGACATAAAGAAGGATGAGAGTAAAACGGAAAAATCTACTGACGGCAGTGGAAAAAACGATAAGTCGGAATTGAATGATGACAAAAAGAAGGATAAAAAACTGAAGAAATCGAAAAAGAAGAAAGCTAAAAAAGAAAAGAAGAAAAAGGTTCGTTCCGTTATTCCGGTTTATAGTTGATGTATTGATCGCTTGCTATTCTTCGTATTTTTTTAGCTCATGCACAACTAATCTTGGATCATTGTTTCTTTGCAGAAAAAGCGTAAGAAGGGTAAAGAATCTGGATCCGGAGATGAAACGGATAGTGAAGAAGATGATAAAAGTAAAAAGAAGATTAAAAGTGTCCTAACCACAGATATTCCACATTCATCATCCTCTGCAGGTAAAATGTCAACGGGATCAGAAGTCTTACTATTTCATTACAAAAATTCTATTAATAACATTCCTGATCATCAATGACCGAGCCTTTCATCAATCTTCAATAATTTAAGATAAGATAAAAATAATAGATTAATGTAAAAATACACGTATTTAATTTACAGCTCCTGCACTTGTGGATCCAGCTGACCTTTCTTATCAAATGATGTATCCCAGATTTCCACAAGCTTGGTATTATGAAGCAGCTCTGCCGATGCTCTATCCGCCGTTAGGACGCGGAGTTCCTAGAGGAGGACCACGTGGTCGTTATCAACGTGGACGTAGCAGAGGATCTTTTCCAGGATGGCGAGGTGGACCACCAGGAATTCGACCAATCCGCCCATTCAATCCTCACCTCTACAACGAACAATACTACAAGTACTTTGCCAACCTAGCAGGTCAGGAGTATCATGACTTCGAAAGTGATTACGAAAGGAGTTCCAAGTCCAGGTCGAGAAGTCAAAGAAGATCTAGATCTCGATCACGATCGCGATCGCGGTCGAGGTCCCGTGGAAGAAGGCGAACCCGAAGTAAAAGCAGAAGCAGAAGCAAAACTAAAAATAGGAGTGCAAGTAGAAGTAGATCCAAATCTAGATCAAGAGCCAGAAGCAGATCTAAGTCCAGATCCAGGAGACGTGGTAGAACGAGATCATCTTCATCATCCAGATCCAGATCTAGATCTAGATCTAGATCACGGCACTCAAGATCAAGAAGACGTTCCAAGTCAAGGACGCGTACGAATTCGCGAAATAGGCGTAAAGGCGGTGGCAGATCTTCCTCTAGAGTTAGGATCACTCGGGCTCGATGTCGCACTCCATCGTCTAGAAGAAAATCTCGCAGTAGTTCCTGGTCCCTCCCAAAGTCACCGGGTCGTAGAAGTTGCTCTTGGTCTAAGGCTGTGGATACTTCCAAAAAGGAAAATGACGAGAAGTCTAATAAAGATGAAGTTAAAGGTCAATGTGTTACTACTACCAATGAGGTGAAAGAAAGTGCTCCTGCTTCACAAACTGAGACAATAACTTCTGATTAGAAAGGAAGTTAAGATTTAAGTGTGATGGACTTTGCAAGAGAAGAAAAAAAGTTCGATGGAAGCAATGCAAAGCGATTCGTACAACTATTGAACTTTATAGACAATTTTAAAGACTATAGTATTCTTTGAGAATTCGCTTGTATTTCTCAAGAGTGTAACAGTTTACAGATACATATTTTAACGTGTGACAGTTCGAACTCAGTTTGCATGAAATGCAAATACTACGTGAATATACGGAAAAAAAAGTCTATCGGTCTTGATTGACAAAATGTGTGAAAATATTTGTAATTGGAGATTTAGAGGAAAGCCACTTTATTCACGTATATTTCTATTTGCAAATAAAATCCTACAAGCTGCCAACAATAATAGTGCTTTGAATTTAATCTTCATGAATATTTTCTTCTCACCGATGAGGAGTGTAATGATAAATAAGAATAGACCCAATGATTTGAAGTCAAAGCAGAATATTATTCTTCACCATGACAAGATGGCGGTGGTATTAAAAATGAAACGAATAATACTTAAGAAAATTCATACTTTTAACAGCTACTCCAATTTCACGAAATATACCTCTTTTTTACATAGGCATGTAATTTCATTTTCTTTAATCAAGCAAACAATTGTTAAACGTATTCCGGATCGAGAATCAGCAGGATTCGTAACGATATAATATTTATAATACATCTTTATGTCCTTCGTAAACAATATACTCCATTGTTTAAAAGTAATTTTACAATGACTTACCTCATACCTTTCTCGATAAACGAAGGTCCTTAAAATCAACGCCAACTTTTCTTTCTCAAAACTGTTTCACCGTCTCCCGATCACGAATCCTCTAAAGGTCTCATTAATTCCCAAAATACATTAATTACTTTGAAAAACAATTTTTATTTCCAACAAATCGTAATCCAAACTTAGTAATCGGCCATTTCGACCGAAATTTCCATCACAAAATGGACAACGGCATCGGATAACGTTGTACTGTACCATATCTGTGTTTGGCATTAAAATGTACTACAAAAGATATGTGTATAATAACCGTAATAATAGTTGGAAAAACATAATTTCGAGCATCGATTATCACACTTCAAAAATTTACAATTACATTCTAGTAGCTACGTAGTACATACGTGCCACCGAGTGCGCGTGGACGTGTGACATTAACTAATGAGAATAATATTGCCTTAACTGCCTCTTTTTCATTAGCCGTTCAACCAACTGCGACTGTTAACACAAAATAATAAAATTTAATCAAATTCGTTAATCGATCCACGATGCTCTACGTCTTTTATAACAATAGCGATTCTCATAATTTTTTGAAATACTTACAAACGATAGCAACGTTCGATAGCTCAATTCGTACTGCCTAGAATAATGTAAACGTTTATCTCACCATGAAAATTGATAGAAACTTTTCTTTACATAATTTTTCTGTCTAATTGTCTTCGTTACGTAAATTATGAATCCGAATCCCCGTCCACGCGTACAATACACACATGACGTTATCCGCAATTATTTTTATTCCTTAAATTTTCATCCTAGGACATCTGAATTCAATGTAACCCTTAATGAAAAAATATTTTTTTATCCCAATAGGTTATAGTGACTACCGCGTTTACGTGAACTACGACGCAAGTCGAGTAGTATGAATTTTGCGGGAAAATGAAAAGTAAGTGACGTAATTATAAAATATATCGTTCATAGATCGGACATCGGTATTATTTTATGGTTTCGACCTAATTTCGGAAATTACATCATATATAATTCTTCTCTACGAAAGAACGTGCGTCGCCACTAGCATAAACTTATTGATATTCTCTTTCACCTGTGATTACGAAAGAAATTATAACTTTACATATGTATGTATCGTTTACATTGAAAATTGACAATGTCAATGTTACGTGCGTTAACAAATTTATTCGACAACGTTAAATATCTGCTCGCGTGAATTCTCTGTTCTTGACTTAACGGCTAAATCGGGACTTTCGAATTTTTTAAAAATAAAAACGTATTCAAAATTTTCTTCGTACTCTTAATAAATTAAGCCCTCAATTAACGCTCTAATTTAAATGTACTTAACTACTCAGGCACGCTAGCAGTAATCGATAATTTGTAATCAGTAAAATCGACAATTAAAACGAATTCGCGATCAGTGGAACATCATCGTTTTGCGCGGTCTTTTTGGCCTGATTCAAATTGAAAGAGAGCATTTACATACGTATATGGCAAAGTACTAAAATTATTGTAAATTTTCTTTTTTCTTGTTGCCGATATTTAGTACAAGAACAAAAGTAGAAATCAAGACAAGCAAATCTTTGTGGCGGCAATGGGGATGAATTTGGGTTTGTTTCTGCATGAACACATTTTTCTTGTGCATTTTGTCACTTTAATCCGGTTCAATTGAGCTTTGCTGCTTTACCATCGGTGTTACTGCTTTTGTTCTTGTACTCGCTCTCAATTCAAATGTCAGCCTACAGTCGCTTCGGTGTGAACGAGATCTTAAACTTCGTCTGTGATAAACATTGAATATGTCGTTACGTAATTTCACATAGCCTTTATTACATTACTTCTTTTTTATTTAATGTTTTTTTTTTTTAATACGTCATTAAAAACTACTTAACAATATGTACAAATATAGTACTTTTACATTAACACATATATACAGATACCACTTTTTGACGTTTAGACTTGAAGAGCTTATTGTGTTTGTGTATTTTTCGTGTTTGTCTCTGACGTGTCGTGCACGCTTCCCATTGGTCGTTCGCTCTCGACGACGCAATGCGATTGGCCGCTTAGCGATTCTTGGTAAAATCGCTCATAGGAATCGGACAGCGTTTAATAAACCGATTCGTACTTTGTGATTTAGAAAAATCTTTATGCTCGCATGAGAATCGTGGTTTAGTATCTCTAAGTTTGTACCCATATGTTGTTTTATCGTGGACCCATCTGCTTGGTGAACGTAAATGAGATGACAATGAGTTGGTAATTTATGGCCGGGAATTATTCGACGCGAACGTCTGAATTGATGTCGAATGTGAAACTCTGAAAAAATTTTTATCTTTTTCACATAAAACAAGTTTTCGACTCTTAAATCGCATCGAGATTTACGGTGCATTTCAAGCGGAAGAAATGTGAAAGTAACGTTCAAAGTTCGCGAGTGGTTGAAACGACAGTCAGACATATGGCGGCCTTATACATATGGATCCAAAGCTCCTCGGGATCGTTAGTCTTTATAGGTCTTTTTTTTTCTAGGTCTTTTAGGTTACGTTTTTTCTTGTTTTTTTTTTTAAGTATAATACTTGACTCAATTTAAACAACGCGAAAACGTTAGACAACCCGATAAAGTAGTACAATGAACATTTAACGCGAATTGGACCACTTTCTTTTTGGCTGGCAGATTTCGCATCGCCCAATTGTATCGTAACGTTTGTTGTTGTTTGCATCTCGAAAAGTCAAAAATGCGTTTTTGAGCGTGCAGATTTTTTTTCGTAATTATTAGAGTGCACCGTGCTTTAGAATTTTTTAAATAATTATATCATCGGATCCGTTCACTGTCATGGAACATATTTGTGCTCGAACACATTGATTTTCTTTCACAAAACTTTGCAAATACTGACCTGGTAAAACACTGACAGAGAGAACAGAGTTTTTTGAAAATAAATTTTTTTTTGCAAAATCACGTTTTTCAATTTTGACTATCTTTAAAAAAAGGGATATTTTTTTTGCCGACCCTTCGAGTGTGGAACAGCACAACCAAAAAGTGTTCTAACTGTGAGTGCATGTGCACTTGTTTTACACCGAGTGTGCACTTATGCACCTACAGGTCACAGTAAACGTGTTACATTGAGTGCACATTGGTATGTACCCGCAGTAGTCAAAAGGTATACGACCAACGCAACGCTGTCTTCACTTTCCTCTAAACCGCTGCAATTTTTGTTTCATTTAATTCCAATTAAATTAATTTCTTTCAGGTGCACTCAACCTCATATTTCGCGACATTATTGAGCCCCGAAAAAAGTATTTTTTTTTTTTCTTAAATCGGAAAATATTTTCTGCATGTAAAAAAAATCATCACTATCACCCCCTCCTATGATGCAGCATCGATTTCGACTGATAACGTCATAAGCTACTATAAAGATTCGCTGCGCAAAAAATTCAGATACCCAAGCAACTTTTTCTGTTATCATTTACGAAGGACCTTTTCATTTTGTCATACAAAGACAAATTGCCAATCAATACTGTATAGATTGCAATAAACTAGCGCAACGCCATTGTACGTAGTACAACAATGAATATACATTAGAAGTAACGAATGCATTTACGAGGGTTCGTCATCTGGAATTGCGTTGCGTCGTCGTTCGCCGATCGAACATTAAGATCGACTCGTGCTCTGGTCTTATAGTCTCTTCAAGCTTACTTATCTCGATGTCATTAAAAGAGTGTACGCCGACAAATATCGTGTGTTACATATTTACCGTCCATGAATAGCAATACGGAGTTTTAATATGAAACACCCTGTATCACTCTCGTAAACCTATACCTAGTTCGGAATTGCATCGAAAGAATCGCACACTGCAATTCCTGGTTAATTCGTCAGGCTTGCGATCTTGGCAAATATTTTGGTATGTACAAAAACAAAAGAGTCAATACTCAAGTACCGTGTATTCTAATTAAATGACACGATAATTAATTAACTTCAATTTCGGTAAAGTAGGTAAATCGCGATAACGACTTTAAATCGCACTTAATTAATGCTAATGTGCAATCAATCCGGTTCACATGGGCCAAATTCGCATTGGACCTTTATACGCAATTGAATTGGCATTAAATTCGATAAAGTCATTCTATCGATTTCAAATTCAATTTTATTTCAGTCTGTGCAACCGGACGTTAATCGAAATAACTCTGTGCTCGTTCCATCCCAAGGTGCGTTTATACGTGCCATTATGGAATCAATAGGTATCAATAGGTATCAATAGGTATCGACAGTCTATAACATTACAACCATACAGAGTGACAACAGTTGTTCTGTCATGTGCACAAAGCTATCATTGTATATCGATGTTAAATATCAAATTGCAACAACGTCATCATTGACACTGGGATGAGAGCGACTGTTTGTTTTTACTTAAAAATACAAAAAAAAAAAATTTATTCACATTCTTGCAAACACGTTTTTGGGACTTTGAATTCTTTCGATGCAAAATCCATTGTTTTCCTTTAAAAGTGCTTCCACGATTCGTAGTCGCTATCATCTAATTTGGTACAGTTAGTTGGTAATCTTTGGTCATTTCGTATAACAACTAGATGGTGATAACCATTGGATAATGTAGATTAAAGTCCTTGTCTTAATAAATTATTTAAGATTTTAAACTATTAATTCCTAATAGTGGCGATAATGGTGATAGTCAAGTAGTAGATAGTAGATAGTAGATAGTAGTAGCTGTAATAGTAGTAGTGATCGGGTTAGCAGCAGTAACGGTGATAACGATAATGATAATAAAAGAAAATATAAAAAATGATTATGATAAAAAGATTATTAAAAATGCTAATAATCCTGACAATAATAATAACAGTGACGACTATGAAAATCAAATTGAACAATGACTATGATCATATAGTTACAGCTATCTCTTTTCCCTTTTTTTCTTTTCTTTTCCTTCATCGTCGTATTCAATTCGCAAATAGTAAAGTTACGCAAGTATAAATTCGCATTAAGCCGACGTAAACTGATTAATCTCACGCGTTTCTTTTTTTTTTCTTCAAAACTGTTTCCTAAACTTTTTATCGTCTCTTTTTTGTCCGTTCTTGTTCCACTTGTTGCACAACCTTTCTGGCACGGCAACTGCATTGGCCTCTTAGAAATGCATTCAGTGCAGCAAGGACGTACGCTCAAAGAGGATTAATGCAATTTAGTCTCAGCCGTGAAAGTTTGCAATGGGCGATTATTTGGTTTTACTTAAGTAAGAAGGAAGAGAGAAAAGTTTCAAAGAGCTCTAGGATAGAGATTAGGTTTTAGATTTTAGGATTAGGTATATGATATAGATTCATGTTCGTTCTACAATGTTATTATAGTTCGCACTTATTTTTTTTTGTTCATCGTCGCATCGCCATTTTTTTAAGTACTACAATCATTCTTCATTGTTGTAATTTGTTTAGTACATTTATTTAATTACTTTTGTTCCTTTGGTTTTTTTTTTTTTTTTTTTTTTTTTTTTTCCGTGATATCTAAAATAGTCCAGAATATATTGCTCAATTAAACTCGGTATAAACTAAGCAAAAGAGCGAAATGTAAGTCTATAAGAAGCGACAAGAATATATTGGAGGAAAGTAGCAAATAAGACTAATGAGAGTGAGACAACTAAACGAGATGAGGGATAAGCGATTGCCTTTCTTTTTTTCTTTTGTTTTTTTTTTTTTTTTTTTTTTTTTTATTAGCTCGTCACCCTGAGGCATCCCTCATTGGTGGAAAACGCTGTCGCAGGATTCTTAACTTGAGAATCGCTCGTGAAATTCGCACGTCGACACTCTTGGATTCGATTCAATTTTTTTTTTTCTATTTTTTTTTCCGTTTTACCTGCTAAACGTAAAAATGCGACTGTTACAAATTTCACGCGATCACTTCCGGCACTATAATGCACTTTCAAGAAATTCCATATAAAAATACTGTGTTGTTGTCGTGTCCGGTGTAACCGGGTACACCGTATATGGAGACTCGAGAGTAGCGACAATCACGCTCATGAGACATTCTGTTGGCATGACTGTTGCAGTTATGTGTAAACGTAAATGATAGTAACAAAGTGATAGAAAAATGCAATGACGGTTCAAGGGTTACGAAAAGTTCAAAGGGAAGAAAAACTAGCATGAAACGCAAACTGTACGAAGAGTGATGAGATATGAGAAAAATTTTATATGGAATTAGAAAAAAAAAAAAATACTAAGGAAAATGGTGTAACATAGGTTGCAGTTGCAGCAGGTGCAGTACTGAGATTTATAACTTATAACTCCAGAAGTAACATAAGGAACACTACGGTAACAATTTTTGTTTGTCACGATTGTGTCTTTTTTGGTCCCGTTTCGAGAGGAGGCAAATGCTTCTCGCGAAACTATGCTTTTGAAAGTAAAAGAGAAAACAAAAAAATGGACGACCGACTAGATAAACTGGGTTAAGATTTTTTTTTTTTCTTTCTTCAAAGCCCATTGCACACACGGTTTCGGCCGATATTCGAATTTATAGGCGAGGGTCGCGTTTTCATTGCGCGACAACAGTCCTATAGATAACATTACATTTACACGTCGAGTATGTTTTAGAGAAATTCCTAACACTATGTGTTATACGGGCTTGTAACACAAATATGTTAGTCTGTTGAGACATGACATTTTTTTTTTAAATGGCTATGTTGGCTACAGCAATCGTGGACAATTGTATATATATATATATATATATATACTTAATCTTTGTCTATTATATTTGTCGCTACAATGAAAACACTGCCCTATCATGGCATACATACATAGACATATATACACAGAGACATGATATCCTGGACGCGCATAAACATCAAACATGAATGCGTGTTGAACGCGACTGCATCTTACTATCTAGGAACGTTCAGTAAACGAATAATAAGATCATATATTTTTGCAATAGCGCAAATCTTGCACGGGAAAAAAAAGTACAATTTTATTTTCCTGTCTTTTTCTTTTGGAATTCGTTTTTTACTATCTTTTTCATGTCTTTCGTCAATGCATCAGGCTCGTCTTGAGAATCCTAAGTCATTACCACATCGAGCGATGACCGCGCCGTCCGAAACAGAAGCGAATCGCGCGTGCGCAAATTCTCTCTCAAAAAAAAAAAAAAAAAGAACGCAAAGTGAAATGGACGAAGAAATGAGATGCGTTTTTGAAAATGTCAAAATTGCCCGAGCTACGTTTGAATCTCTACTGCGCATGCTCGGCAGATGAATTCAATCGGCCGACGACTTACGGGTGTAATGCGTTTTTTTCGGCGCTGATCTCGTAGCGTTTCAAAGCAGAAAATCTTGTAATTATTTATTCTTCTTGCTTTTGTCCCTGCCTACGTGTGTTTTTTGGTGCAACTGTACTTGTTCTTTGTCGACGACGCATGCGCGTCGCGACCGTCGCAAAAGTACGCGAGTATCGCCGTTCGTGATTGTTAGGAAATACAGAAAGAGAGAGAGAGAGAGTGGATAAGGTAAGGTTAGGTTGAGTCGAGTCGAATACATTAATATTAAGTAAAAGTTTCAGGCACGCTTTTTTTTTTGCGGGCAAATGAGCAGTCCGCAGCAAAGTGGAAGAATCCGCGCGTTTCGTATGCACTCGTATTGTTTCCATACTCATTCTTTTCCCTTACTTTCACGATCACCATTTCCTCTAATCGCATCACAAACCAGCCGTACGTGTTATCGGTTAACGATTAACATTACAAATACAATTCGGCTCAACAGTGTAAATTTCACAGCGACTACCACTCAAGTGATGCTTATTAAATATTTTTCTAACCTAAAAAAAACAAAATGATGAATCACAAAAATTTCTTATCCATACAAATTTCTACGATTCCGCTAAGTCAGTAGTAGCCAAACTACCAATTTACGACCTAACTCTGAATCCGAGTAGGCGTTTAGAAAATGGTAAATTTTATTACTCAAATAGAAAATGAGTAAGGAACAACAGGGTGCACTTGTACGCGTCGGATAAGAATGCCCGTCTGTTGGTTAGTATGAATGCTGCGGCTGCAAGGACGAGACTCAGCTGTGCGCCGAGGTGTCGGAACTCTGGCTATTTCCGAGTCCGCCCATTCCGGTCTGTGATGTTAATTTGGTGACGGATTGCGAAGTGGTAGGTGCGGAGGAGTTTGGAACGCTGTGAAGTTGTCTTCCGCTACCAGTGTCTGGTACCAGATGAGGCGTACGGCTGGCTACAGGTGGCAGTGGACTGGCAGCCCATGGATACAAGGACGTGGTGGTCGGTGCGCTGGGGACGCTTCTCGAATGTGGCAGAAGCGGCGAATTCGTCGGACTGGCCTGGGACTGATGAGCTGAGAAACTACTTCCGGCCATCCCGATGCTGAGACCACCCCCGAAACTTGACATCGCCACTGCCGTATCAGGGTGCAGGAAGTTTCGACGTTTCTCAAGACGCTCCGTGTGCTGGGCCAAACTCTTTGTCAACGCCACCGGAAGTTCCTCCAACTGTTCTTGCAGCGACGTCAATATGTTCTCCAAACTAGCCAGACGCTTCTCCAAGGCGTCCTGACGCGTGCTCATGTCCGACACAATCTCGTAGACCGTGTTCTGCGTCTGTGGTCAAACAAATTTTTGAGCATTGTTCCGTGGTACAGAAACTTTCAGAGAGCAAAATATACGACTATTGTATATTCAATGACGAAACAATTGTCAGAAATTAACCGACAAACAATTAAATCATTCTATACAAAGTTTGTACTATGGTCTCGTTTGAATTCACAGCATAGACAAATCAGCCATGAGATACGAATGTATTGGATTGGACTTGACATAGAGCTTCGCATTTCTCCCGACAGAGTGCGCCACTGCGAGCGTCCTCGGAAATCTATCTATTCCGTCGATAAATTTCAACGGCACCCCAGCATGAAATATTTCCTTGCGCAATTGTAAAAATGAAATACACGATATCTCGTAACCCGCAGATTCTCCAATGTTTAACAAATTGCCGATAAAAGTATCGCACGTTGTCTCTCCCGATAAAAATACCATATAAGCTTCCCAATGGTCCGCTTATGTAAAGCCGCCCATATGTGTTCACAGATAGCAGAAGCAACGTAATATTTCATAAAAACCTATTCAAGTTTATTGACAAAAATGTATTATGCAAACTCGATTTATTCTGAGGAAGATCAGACCCCCGTGTACAAATATACGTGGACTAAATTCTGAAACATTGGAAAGAATATATCCATGATTTCTAATACGATGATACGAGTGAACAGGCATCTAGATGAACGTCAAAGGCATAAGAAGTGACTGGTCTGTAAAATTACCTTTTTCCTAAATCCCAAATAAACAAATTTCACTAAATCAAAATTTTTCGTTTTTTTTTTCTAACCGGTTATTTTAAAATCACAGTATCAGCGTTCATCTTTTTTCTGACTGCGCAATCTTCATTCTCACAATCAGTAACTCAGCATCTTCCGATCCATCTTAGCTGTCCTCGAATCTGATCTGCTTATTACTCGACGCGCCACCTTCGTTACCTTCGGTACAAATCGTAACTACAGTACCTATTACGGTAGCTACCTTAACGACTTCTCCAGGCCGTTCACCCCAGAAACCCCATAAAATGCAAATCGCCACACGTGACACATAACACGTAATAGAATAGACTTGGTCATCTGTCTTTGATCTGATCCTCAGAGTAGAGCATTACAGGACTCTATCTTCTATATAGTCTATGTATACGAATGACATAAGACGAAGGTAGCAATTTATATATGGGTCCAAAGTGTAATCTCTAGGTGCAACGATAATTGGCCCATTGGCAGGTCGAGAATAATAGCCTGGGATGCAACAGATTACACAGAGTCCTGGACCGTAATGGTTCTAGATCAAGATTTGCGGTTTGGCGCTCCACTGAGGAGATTAACTGATTCGGATTAACTGAGGCGTTCGTACTTGGGGAGCGAATGTTGGGTGAAGTCTGCTTTTTTGAATTTGGATTTTTTTTTTTTTATTGAATCCTAGCACAGCTCATTGACCTAGGCTGGTTTGATTGGTATTAGAAATTCGACGGGACTGACCTTGGCCATGTCGGTTATGGTATTTGCATTGTCCATTAATTTTCGTTGATCCATTTTGACTTTTCTAAGCCTGAAAAAAGTTTATTACGATAATTATATTTTTTTTCATCTTTTTGTTTTCTATTATATTAACCTACTTACGCGTAAATCGCCAATAGAAATTTTCGTTGATGTGTACGGACACGGCCTGGATTTACCCGCTTGGCGATACGAGTGTGCTTGTAAATCAACCACGTTTCGCGCAACACGTTGGCTGCTGCATTTTTCAACTGCAACGGAGACAACTTTAATGTCGTTGTGTCACTGTGGTCAACAGCAAATACAGTATCGTCTGTTGTTGTTTGATTGGATAATTGAAAAATTTATTATTAATCGATAATTTTCAATTACGTGTGCACAATGTCAAAGGTCGATAATCATGATTCTAATCGGCTTAAAGACAAACCGTTGCTTTAATTTTTTCCTTGCACTTCTTTTTACTGCCGGGACAAACTGTTGTACTTTGTAATATGACGCTTTCTTGTGTCTTTTGTTATTGCGACAGTCGGCAGTTATAATTGTACACATAATTCTCAGAGCAATAGCGAAGCCTCACCCTTTTTGTTAACTGCGTGTCCATCATGAAGTTGTGCACGTGTTTCTCGGCCCTTGTCAACTCCAATTTTCTGGAAACAACAGCGACGAGTAACGCAGTACAGCCTGCGCCCTAGAAGAAATGTAATTGTGAATAAAAGAAAAAAAGAAAAAACTGGTAACTTTGTTTTTTTAAGATTTAGGTAAACTGCAGGTATTACGATTGGGTTACGAAATAATCGGCAGATATTAATTATCACGTAAGCAAAACTGGTTATAGCATCTATGTAATAACGTAGATTGCATTATGATTAATTTTATCGTTAATATCACTGTATATTTATAAGAGGAATTAAGTCTCGTGAATTATTTATTCTTAGATTCAATTTTAGGTCGCGCCTAAACTATATTTGCGTATATCTGCGCGAAAATAATAATTTTCCGAAAATTATTGTCAGCCAAACGATCGTCACATTAATTTAATCACAAGATAAATTTCAAAAATGTAAATAATAAATATCGAAAATCAATTTCTTCTTTATCAAAATCTTTTTTTTTTCTTTTTTCTTAAATCGAATAAATTGGAAAACGGCATAAGAGTGCCAATCGATCACGTGATAGCGATCAGAGATAGCAACTTGAATGAGAGGGAGAAAAAAAAACATAAAAAATAGCCCTGATAAAAAGCTGAGCCCTGGAACGCGAGAAGTGCATTTGCTAAATAATTGTGTTTCGAGTCGAATGAAAAAAAAAAAAAAAAAAAAAAAAAAAAAAAAAA